GATTCGGTGCTAGGCAGCAAATTTATGGATACGAATCATGAAAATTGTCAATATGTATGGTCAATATGTATGGCCATGAATTATTTGTGTGAATCATGAAACTACACAATCTCTCTCTCCTCCATTTAAATTCATACTGTGGAATCAATCATGAAATAATGTGCAAATGTTTACATTCCACTTCTATGCGATTTAAATATCTCCGCCCATTTGCAGGTACCTTAAATTCGAAAGTAGTCCAGTTCAAATTTCCGGAATTTAAGGCTTATACATGTTATTTTCAATGACGTTGTGTGGAATTATAGAAATATCTTTAACATAAAATTCGAATTATAAATATCAAACGCATATGTATGCACAATAATCATAGATTAATTCAGCAATATAGTCTAATTCAAGGCTGAAAGTGGGTGGCCGAAAAGTTTTCAAATGACACTCTAAAGTGCACTCATTCTTTGATTGGCTTGTTGCTATACATGAAAATCAACTAACACAAAGCATATATTTAAAGCTGACGAGAAATGCGGTGACTAGGTGCTTAAGGAGATTTGTTTGATATCTGGAAAAATAATATAATATAATAGTGCAGGCTTCTGCATCATTACGTTTTTTTGAAATTCGCTTTCTTGATGGACAGTAATGTAATTTTCATTCAGCCGCTGGAGTACTGCCGGTGCATACTATCCAGTGTATACATATCTAGATTTCAATTAGCAATTTTACTTAATAAAAAATATATTTCATCATTTTCGACATACACTCTTGTCTTTTTTTATTCTAGGCTTTATTATAGATTGTCACATCTCCGCATGCAAAACAAAAGTATTCTAACCTTTGATTGAAACAGGGCTGCATTGATAAATTCCCTTCTTGTTCCATGAACAAGGAATTTTAAGGACGTACTCGAATTGAAGTTATTTTGTGACAATTTTAGAACCTGGTTCATAGTTCTACACCAATTGTTCTATTCATATGAAAAAGGGTTGGGATCAGGTGTCTAGGTGGAGTAAGCATCCTGAAGCAAAATTTATTGAAAAACATACTTGCGAAAAGAAAACACTTGCCGTGGCCTTCAAATCGACATTTAGATAAATCGTCGACACATTGTTAATTCATATTTGAATATTTATTTCACTATTTTACTTTATGAAAAAGGTGATAACTTCAACTTTTCTAGGAGCAACTTCCCCTTTTCATACTGAAAAATAACATTAATACCTGCATTTGAAATTAATGTCTCCCAGTTGATTTGTTACGCAAGAACATATTTACATACGAAGCATTTCTAAAAGCTTTTTACAAACAAGTTGATGAAACAGAGATATCAGCAGTCTCATTTAAGGACAGACGATACGTTCCTCAATAATACATAATATTTTCTAAGAATTTGAAGTATTGCTACTTTAACATGTTTACTCGCAAAAAACTTGAGGTACCTTACCAGGTATTTGTGCAAAATACCAGAGGATGTTTTTCCTATAAAATCCTTTTGGAAAAAACTAAATAAGCCAATAACACATTTTTCAGTGTTTCAATTTTATAAAGGCAATTAGAAACCAGTTTAGAAATCGCAGCACAGTTAAGGCTGCAGTAAGGAGGCGGGGCCTAATTTTTACGGGAAATGCTTACTATGACATCATATAAAAATAGAAGTTCTTCAAATTACCACAAAATGAAATGATTTGGTATTTTAAACTGATGAATAGCTTTAAACTACATCAATACTAACTAGTGCATGCATTATTGTCGTTGGTTAAATCCAACACAGCAATATATAAACAATTCACTGATCGCAATGCACTTGTCAATGTGACGTCATATCGGAAAATTTGACGCAGTTTGTATGTAGTGAGAGGCGGATCAAGTTATATTTATACAATGAAAAATGTATTTTGTAATGAAATAAAATATAAATTGTAGATATATAAGAGGCCATTAACTTGGATGCGATATCTGTTTTATGATTTTATTCATATACTATCCGTACATTCCATAGACAAGCGATACTGTCGTATATTTGTATGCAGTTTTATTGAAGGGTAATATAGAAGGGTCGTAATAAATCGATATATTGCAAGGGCATACCCTCAATGAATTATGACAAGCTTTTACACATGAACTCAAGAATTATGAAGATATTTGAAAAGTGCTGCGAACCTGTTGAAATCTTGCAAATGAATTAATTATATCTATATTTAATGTACTTGACCAGCAAAATATTCAACATACAGTCTAACAAATGTAATTTTAGCAATTAGATAGTAGAATCTATATAGGTTCGCAGCACTTTTCATAAACTACAAAGAGTGTTGAAAATAATTATATGTTAAACTTAGATTTTTAACTTGGTTATGCCCTTGCAATATTAGAATTTATAGATGACCTCAATACTTCAGGTATATTTGCTAAAATCACGTGACTGCCACATCACGTGACAAGTCTTAATAAGAAATCTAATCGTCCTCAACATTTAGTTTTCAACCACACTGCATTTGTCCGATAATAGTAAAGTCCTAAAAAGAAATGCCCATCCTTGTAAAGAATGTATTTTCTATCGAAAAAATTCGCCGATATTTCCATTTGGCACCTTAACTGTGCTGCGATCAGAAGGTAATTAAAATTTTGCATATTTTCCACACAATACGAAGATATACAAAACAGATATTTGAGGAATGTATCGTTTGACCTTAAAGTGAATATTTTGCATGTTCTACAGTCGATGCAATGACCTTGTCAGCGAATTTAGTCTATCATTTAGTCAAATGCTGACTGATGTTTTATTTTATTTTTTTTTTTTAAATAAAATATTAAGCCATTTTTTAAAACACTGAATAGTCCATGGTTTTTCCTGTTTATCCGATCATGACAATTGGAAAGAGAACACAGGGGGAAATAAGCGTCCGAAAGAAGATGCTTAGTTCACCATGGCATCTCACATCTAATGTTTTAGAGGCCCGTGTTTTCTCTGCTCACGATTTGTTTTGCTTCAATGGACTTTGAGCTTGATTATTGTCTGTTATCTCCATATTTAATTTATCAGCTGGCAGCAGAACAATTTAAATAAAATAAATGCGGTTTTATCCCCAAAACACCAATTTTGTTTCTACACCGTGTACCTGTACAATCAAAACTAAAACATTTGTCAACAGTTTAAGATAAGATTTTCTCTGATTCCAAGATCTAATATGGAGTTGCATTTTTTTTTTAATTATGGATATTGCATTAAAATGTATTAAAATGTTGCACATTATCAACTTTTGACATCAGATGAGCCTGAACAGAATTAAGGATATGATTTTGTAGTGAGAAACCCTGTATTCAACAGTAAAACTGAAACGTAATCAAAAAATTTTAAAATAGAAAAATAAGTAGAAAACATGTTAATTAAGGAAGTTGATGTTTCTATATGATCTGTATGATCATTGTTCAAAAGACTGTAGTATTTACTATGCATGAACATTGTAAATAAATTAGCACATATCTTTTCCCTAATAGGTCATCAACTTTTATATATAAAAATTAAAATTTAATAATAACGATTAATGTCAAGGAAATGTTTCAGATATTTTCTTTTTTTTTTTAATTTTGTGGTTTAGGTCCTTTACAAATTTCTGAAAGCTTTCCATTAATATATCTTTAATTATATATAAATATTGTGAAAAATAGAATTCAATAATAGATTAAAGATCATTGAAACTTAAGAAAACATGCAGGAACATTTCCTCACTAGGATATGGTACATCTCTTTAAGGGGATAGAGTTTTTTTCGCTCTTTCTTTTAACACCATTGGCAAAAGAAATTTTCGGCTGTATGTGTGTTTTTTTATCCATCATTTTAAATATCTTGGAAATTGTTAAACGTCTGACACAAATCACTGTGAATTTCAGGGGAAAATACAGAGAAGTGATGGAGGAATTCTTTATGTCAACTTATCTTGCAGTTCTTTTTCCTATTCCATCTGTGTGCTTTGGTAAATTGTTTTAAAAAAGTGAAGTCAAATATATTTGTAACAAATTTTACCTGCACACTTTTTCCCTTTTTTGCAGTTTCAAGATTTATATAGTTTATTACTTGTTTTTAAGATTTAATTTTTATTTTTACAGCTTTGCAAATACATTGTACCTGTATACATTGATAAATAAAATTTCAGTCACATTTGTACCACATTTGAGGCAAAAGTAAGATTTTTCAGTCGGGTGGCAGTAGGCAGTTCATCGGCCGTTGTCTTGATTGATTTTCAACTGGTCTGTGTACTTCGGGCCAAGTAATATATATGGCTTGGTGTATTTGATGCAATGCTAATTTCATCAACATTTTTAATAGTTTTTTTTTCTTTTTATAGAAAACCTCACTCAGCTAGCTGAGTATTCGGATATACCTACACAGAGTGAATCATACCGGTACCCGGATTCATATTTAGCTGATAAAGCAGTTGATGGATACCTTGAAGAAGATTATGGCGATAACACGTGTAGCATTACTCTTGCTAATCCTCATATTCACACGGCTTGGTGGAAATTGCCTTTAAAACGCCAGGCCAATGTTGCCTATTTAAGAATCCTTTTTCGAAAATCAAGTGAGAGTTTTCTTTAATCAAAATAAAACGCCATAATGGGTGATGTTATAAAGTTTTTTTTTCAGATGTTAATCGAAGTAGTAAATCAAAACACGATAGAGTTCCTATCATATGGTTTATTAAGGAAAATTATGGCCACATTTCTATTGTTAAATCTCATCGTAATTAAAATTTAAATTTCGAAACATATATAAATATCTCAAATACTCTCTCGGTTTTTATTTTCTTGCTATATTCTTATTTGCAATTTGATTATATTTTGTCCTATTTAAAACTTAGCAAAGTACAAAAAAATATATTCCAGCTGTGAATCGGCATACAGGAATTTCCGTATTTGTGTTCAATGACTCATCTTATACCCCGCCGTCTAGCTCTGGAGATCGAGTCTACACTCACGATCCATCTACCTGCCTTCACCAAGAGATGAATATAACTGTGAATAGAGTCACCCAAGGAATAGCTCTGTATAATTCAAAAAATCCTCCAATCAGCACTATCTGCAAAGGCTATGAACCATCATTTGCTACAATTGAAATATGTGAAGTATTCGTGATGGGTATGTAATCATCATACATGTGTATTGTATAAAATGTCAATGAACACGTTTCTAAATCCTTTAAGATATATACACTTAAAGCTAATTTGATTGAATGATAAAATACTAAATATCTTCAGGTTGTCCGCCGCAGAATTATGGAGAAAATTGTACAATCTGCAATCTAAGATGTCGCGATCAACTGTGTGATGCATTTAATGGTTCGTGCAAGTATGGATGCAATAACACATTTATGACGTCTTCGGACTGCTGTACGTAGTATTTATGTCAGTTTACCTGTAAATGTAGGATAAAACTACTTTAAAAGTGTCATATTTATTTCAATGTGTATTTGAATAGCTGGCAGAGAATGAGAAAATATTTTTTTTAAAAGTGACTGATTTGGTCATCATTAAAAAAGTCGTTCTTTTACTCCCATAGCATGTGTAAAAGGACATTATGGAACCTATTGTGAGAAAATATGTGGAAAATGTCTTGCAGGGGTTTATTGTGACCAGTATACAGGGATATGTCCAAGTAGATGCTTAGAAAACTGGCAAGGTCCAAGATGTGATGGTAAAAAAGAAGGAATCAACGATAATTTTATTCTCACACGTATCTATATTCCAAATGAAATTATTTGGAAAAGTTTTCATCATTCTGAACTTTTTTCTTGGAAAAAGAAGAATTTTTCTGTTTTCTATATATGTACATCTAACAGAAGCAAACAGAAACAGAAAGAAAAGCTGTCATGTTACTTGAAAGACTTTTGTTGCTGCTTTACATTTCTCTTTATCAAAATATTGAGGAAAAAAGATTAAAATTAATAGTTATGAGAAAATTATTATTTCTTTTTATCATTCCCTAGCTTAAAAATGTCAAAAAAACTCTTCAAACTAATTGTAATCGACAACAATTCTAAGCTATTTTGCTCACTGTCTATGATTTATTGTTTTACCAGATACAATGATTAAGCTAGAATTTTAGATAAAGTTATTATGAATTTTTACAAAACTTTCAGAATGTAAAGATTATAAATATGGGCCAAACTGTGTATTTGATTGTGGTCACTGCAAAAATAACACACTCTGCTCGAAGATTGATGGGACATGCGAAAATGGTTGTGAAACAGAATGGAGTGGATCCTTTTGCCATAAAGGTACAATAATTCATTTCAAAATATTAAGAAAAGTATTATGCAATTATTGTAAAAATACAGAATGAAGAATATTCATTGTTCACGTATAAAACAGAACCATATTCATAAGGTAAATGAAGATATAATGAAGGAAAAAAATATTAAAGTTCGACGTGTATATGAACAAAAAATATCCTTATTAACACACTCATTTAGAGTGACGTAAAACAAACTGAGAGTAATGAAAATTAATTTATTTTAAAATGCAATATCTGGGTGATATATTTTAAATCTTCGATGTAATGCATTACTATTTTAGTATCATCTGCAAATGAGCATACAGGTAAGTAATAACTGAAGTATTCTGATGTAAAAAAAAATCTAAAGATAATCAGCAAATCATTAGCTACTAGCATTATAGTCCATGCTTTCAGTGTCAAAATATACGGGAAGTAAGACTACAATATATATAATTGGACAATCAAATAGAACAAAAATATTCTCCAAACCTCAAAGCTTAAAAGAATAATAAAATTCATCGTTGTATTATGACGTGCTTCCAACAGTTCTCCAATAAAAAAAATTCTATGTGTATCTTGAAAGGGCTTGGACACAGTTGAATTGTTTACATTTAGAATTCAAATACAACGATTTTTTTTTTCATAACATTGCGGCAAACATCTGTGTTTTTAAACAGGGTACTAACTCTATTATTGCTAATGTTTACGCTATGCTGGATGTGTTCAATTTGATAACACTGCACACATCATCGAGCACGGACTAACAATTCTTGTGAGTGTGTTCTGCTTTCTCACATTATCCCTCTTTTTTTTATAAAAGTTTTAATGTTTCATGAGTATTAAATATAACGTTTACCTCGCGAAAGTGAAGGATACGTGTCAATCAAAAGCGTCCCTTTATTGCAGTTTGAATAATTCCCAGATTAAAGAAGTTTCTAAGCAAGCTTTTATGATATTTTGGCGTTAAATGCTCTGACAACATACTTCATGATATTTTACTGAAAATCTTAGTAAATATTTACATCTTTGTCCGAGCCCCTTTAACTACAAGTGTCAGTCTACAACGATCTATTTTGGAATTTCATTTAAAACGTCTGGAGTATATTTTAATGTAAGTCAAAGGTCATGGTCATGTTGACTGTTAACGTTCCTTTTTATAACGTCTTACAGTGCATGACCAACAGTACACATGCAAGATAGCATATATTCAACTCTTCCATGTTAAAACTATGCCGTTTATGGACGACGTGAACTATTTTGAAAAGTAAGACAAAGGCAAAATGCAAGGGTCAAGAAATCATTAACCATGAAGTTTTACAAAAGCTATAGTACCAAGCAATATATATGCAAAATCAGTGCATCGTACAAATCTGGACATATAATTTGTTAGATGGACATACAAACAGACACAGGGTTAAGTTATCGTTAAGAAATCCTTGAGACCCCCCCCCCCTTGCTCTGCAAGCGACAGAAAAATAAGTTGTTCTAGAACCTTCAATGTGCGTGATAATATATATGCAAATAAAAAGCTACGTTTCAGTTTAATGATGCCCTGGTTTTCCACGGGATGTGAAAAAAAATAAATGAATTTTTCTGACTCTTTTCTGAAACAAGGATTGACAGTGTTCCTGTTTGAATTTCATAAATTTTGATTGTATAACAATGCGTGTTTACTGACAGTTATTTTTTATGAACAGATCAGTATTAGTTTGCAATGAAAATAGTCATAAAAATTATATAAGTTGAATAAACTTTTTTGTTTTGACTCAACAGATAATTGGCTTTTGAAGACACCGACGGTCATCATCCTTGTTGGTTCAACGTTTTTTGTCACCCTAGTTAGCATAGGAGTTACAGTACTTTACAGGAGAATAAAACAAAAAAGCATAAGTAAAAATAAAGAAGAAAGTAACAGGAATCCAGTCTCAAATAATGAAACAATACAACGCAGATGTGTGCAAAATGATGGTACAAGTCACAATCAATACTATAATGTCAGTTATTTTAGTTCTAAGGGTAATACAAATGACGGCACGTTCATCCTCGAAAATATGTGATTTGTTAAACCCAAATGTACATTTAATGATGCAGGAAAAATATTAACGATCACAATCAAAAGTCATAAAAATCAATTAATGTCCTTGTCATTGGTCATTTGCAAAATTATTTTGTTAAAAAACATTCTGATTGTACACACAAGTACTCTGAAGTTGACATTAAAAAGATGCTTGAGTTTCTGATTGACAATATCTATGTGGTTTTTGGAGACCAGGTCTTCCAACAATCTATTGGAATTTCTATGGGTACCAATTGCGCCCCGTTATTAGCAGACCTCTTTTTGTATTCTAATGAAGCAGAATTTGTCCAAAATCTTGTACGTGAAAAGAAGAAAACACTTGTTGTGGCGTTCAACTCGACATTTAGATATATCGACGACGTATTGTCAATTAACAATGGCTATTTTCATTCTTATGTCGATACGATATATCCTGGTGAACTTGAGATAAAAGATACCACAGAGTCTGATACATCTGTTTCATATTTGGATATTTTACTTGAAAAAGACGTTAATGGTAATCTAACAACCAGCTTTATGATAAACGTGATGACTTTAACTTTTCAATCGTCAACTTCCCTTACTTATGCAGCAATATACCTTCATCACCTGCATACGGGGTATATATCTCTCAGTTGATTCGATACGCAAGAGCATGCTCTACGTATGTACAATTTCTAAATCGAGGTAAATTATTGACAAATAAGTTGATGAAACAAGAATATCAGCTGTCTCCTTTAAAGTCATCATTTCGTAAGTTCTATGGTCGATACAATGACCTTGTCAGCAAATACAATTTATCATTGAGTCAAATGCTGACTGACGTTTTTCATACTAATTGTTAGGCCATTATTTACACACTGAATTGTCGACGGATTTTTCCGTTATTTCCCGATCATGACAAGGAGCACACGGCGGGTGTGACCGGTCGGCAGGGGATGCTCACTCCTCCATGGCACCTGATCCCACCTCTGATGTTTGGAGGTCCGTGTTTGCTCTGCTCCTATTTTGTATTGTATAATGGACTTTTGAGCTTGAATACTGTTCGTTATCTCCATATATTTCATAGACATGTAATATAAAATATTCACGCTATATGCTTTTTAATTTCCATTTTATACATTTGTTTACATGAATTCTCGTTTAGTTTCCTTATACTCGGCCAAAATTAGATCAACAGTGATGACGTCATGGGTTAATATTTACATTTGCTGTGTTTTTCTACTTAGCCATCTGTGAAATTGATTTGAAAGCCATTTTTGTGTATACTCACGCGTAGAAATATACACGGAGAAACTCGCGCTAAAGTGACGTCACAATGAGGCTACAGAGACGTTAATAAAAATATGACGATATAGGGCAGCGAGAAATTAAAACATTGAGTGTATTTTTGGTGCATTTGAACATGTAAAATGTAAATACAAGGAATGTTTTTAAGTTTAGTGTGAATTATTGGTGTGTAAATCACACAGACTTGCACGTAGGCATATTTTTCATGAAGCGCTAGCGCGCTTCATGAAATATGCCTACGTAGTCATATTGCATAGGCAAGTGGAATATCTGAGAGTAGCCTTAAAATACCAGAGTTATACTTAACCAAAGTTTATTATGGTAAAATAATGCCTCATATAATAATTCTATAAGCATATGTGTTCATTTGTCTCGTATAAATAAAACTCTGACTGCCATGGTTATAATACTTTGGGGGTATTATTGCCTGAATCTTTGAACCAATTAAAGAATCATGTTACATGTATATATACACTGTATTCTGTATTTATATAATTATGTCGACTTTTTAGATATCTTTGTTGTCTAGTCAGATAATTATGTCGACTTATCAAATCTTTTTTGTTTACTTGTCAATTATTCATGTGTTTAAAAAGTCAACATGAAATGTATCCCTGCCAAGTGTATGCCATCACTTGACAACATAGTTTTCTGCCAAGTCGGCATAAGTATCTGAAAAGTCAAAACAAAGATCTGACAAGTCAACATAAAGATCTGACAAGTCAATATATTATCTGACAATTCAATGTAATTTTTTGACAAGTCGACACAAATCTACAAATATACAATCAACATCATTATCTACAAATCTACAAATCAACTTCATTATCTGACAAGTCGACATACCATCCGAGAAACCGACTTATAAGAAAACTATGTCCACTTGTCAGTAAAAAATATATTTACTTGTCAGAAATTTATGTTTACTTGTCAGATATTATGATGAAAAGTAGATGTCACTTGGTGGCTTTAGCATACTGTAATAACAAGATACCGAGTTCCTAGTTGTGATTTTTTTCTCTGACAAGTCGACTTAATTATCTGACAAGTTGATATAAATATCTGTCAAGTCAACATAAGCATCTGACAAGTCGACATATATATCTATCAAGTGCAAGTTATTGCAGAAATATGCCACCATGGTATAGGAATAGGAAAACATGTAAATGTTTATATCGTTATTTTTTTTACCCTTCTACATTGAGATATGTAAATTAACAAACATTAGGATTAAAAAGTTACAACTAAGGAAAAGAACTCTATTGGGAGATAACTCTCCTAACAGAGGGTCGTTAGACCTTGAAGTGTACATTTGTGTACAAGTTTTCATGAATTTTAAATGAAATTGTTTTCCCTTAAAACTATTATTCTTTAAAATAAATCATAACATTTTTTTTTAATTTTCTGTTTTAAACATTACTCTCCTTTACCTTTCATATACGTAACGTGCTTATGTAAATGGGTTGTTCATTTCATTGCTACAAATACAAGAAAATTAAGATTTTATTACACATTTATGTTAGTTAAAGAGTTGTTGTAAAATGTGCTTTCATAAAATTAATTCATAACAATGTGTATCGGTAACGATCCTCTAATACAACTTATGTCAAAATAACGGTATCTCACTTCCATTCTCAATGATCGTGTAGTGAAGGACAACTCTGCAAGAATTCCCATTGGCACCGAAAGCAAGTTTTTAGACTTGCCTAGATGACCGAGCGGTCTAGCGCGCTGTTCCTGTACTGTAAGGAGGCAGATTCTGTAGGTCGAGAGTTCAACCTCGGTTTGGGGCGGAAGTGGGTATCCTTATAAAATTGAATTTCTTTGTGCTTTCTATATTAATATGTCTTCACTTAGGGCAGTTATGTTAGTTTAAGAGTTGTAAAATGTGTGATAGATAGATAGATAGATAGATAGATAGATAGATAGATAGATAGATAGATAGATAGATAGAGAGAGAGAGAGAGAGAGAGAGAGAGATACTCTGTCCAATTGTTAATTTCACTTTCGTTATCTTTAAACAATGTCAGACAACATTAAAGAAACCATTTACTCGATAACCATAAATCATAAAATTTCTCCTTATTTCCATTGGTCAATGTACACGTAATTAGAAAACCACCTGCATCTTATCTAACAAACAATATTGCTCTTAAACCTCCATTCAGACTAGTTATTGACAGTGAAAGTGAAATAATCTGAATATACAATTTCCCTTAAGATTATTAATGAAAAATAAAATAAAGACGTTATGAAGAAAAATGAATTTTATAATAAATTATTTTTAATACAGGTATGATAAATACTGATGAATACTTCATCATGCAGCTATAACAGTA